CCCCCCCCAATATGCATTTTGCATGTTCTAAAGAAGAGACTACAGGAACTGCCTAACTAATTTACAGAGGAAACACTGGTCATGTTGGAGACTGTACCAAAGAAAAAGTATTTTAATATCAGCATGTTGGAAGTTGTACCAAAGCATAAATCTTTTAGTAGTAGCCTTACCAAAAACCGTAAGACCCACGGTGACTTTATACAACAGAGCATCCATTAGACCACCTTTAAGATGCACTGGGATGCCATTATCCTCCTAATGGAAACAAGTGACAAAAAGAAACTATTTAAGGACAGTTCTTGCAATACTGTGTTAATATAACTAAAATTACCCAGAACAAGAATTACCTCCCCGAATTATCTTCTTAACTTCCCCAAAACACTGAACCTTATTTAGATTCCACTTTGTCTTTCATGCTTTCACTCTGTTATCAGGTGATCGCTCACTAGAGAAGTACAGTAAAGGATGTGTACGTTCATTTCTAAGGCAGTGATTGGCAGATGACTAAACACCTCTGACACCAGTTTCCAGCCCCCTCGGGTGCACAGGTTATGACAACCAGCCCTAGAAACTTCCCATCTGTCTCCAGTACAGTCAATCCCTGCTTAAGGAGCGACAAGGGGAGGAGCCTCTACTGTAACCTGGTGTCATACTGGAAATTAGTTTGCTCCACCCGAAGTAAAACTCCCAGACACCAGATCCACATGATCTTTACCCCTGCCAGCAAGTTCATGCTGCTCTGGAATTCAAGCTGGCCTCCAGCGCTGGTGACCCACAACACAGCCCAGCTTAACTTGCTGCCCCACAGGAAAGGAAAGGGAAGAGGAAAAATTACACCCAGAGATCTCTGCCAGCAGACACAGAACCTCTGACCTCACCCATCACCAATATCCCACCACCCCTTGGCTGGCAAGAAACACTGTGCTCCTTCAGCACTGTCCCAACAAGACTGGCTTTCTCTTTCGGGGGAAAGGAAAGCAACAAGACAGAAAAACTATTAAACTGGGGCTTCTAAGATATTTTTCCCCTTTCACACTGCTGAAGCCCAGTCTCGTCTATTCTCAATAGAAAGCTACTGCTCCAGGTTACATCTCACAGCTGGGAGTATGCTCTGAAATATCCACTGCTTTGGCACTTGAAGATCCACTACTTCTCACTCAGTGGCCCCATCAATCAGGAAGTAATTCAAAATTATTTTTAAAGATTCAGTAATTTTCTAGGAGTGAATCCAACCCCTTAAGACCTTCACTGTTTTCAAAACTGAGATGTACAATAATACCACATTGTCATTAAGAATTATGGGGCTCATCTGTGAGCTATAGATATAGCTGTAAGACTGCAGGTTTAACTTTACACTGTACTTCTGTCCTCCCATTTGCTGTTTTTCTCCATTCTTAGGACATACTCCCCCATCTCATTTCAGCGTACTTTATCTTTGTACAGTACCTATTGTTCATACAAAACTAGGGTACAAATCATTTTATGGGTAAAAAGCCTAGAGAGTCAGCAAGTCAAGTATGCATGTACAAATAATCTCTGTAGAAAATAACTGCTGATTTCAAACACTGTAGTCATACAACTGATTTCAAGAGCTCACCTCAGATGTAAAGAGGACTTTCATCAGTTCTTTAGAAACAAAACATATGCAACTATGATATCTGAAACCTCATTATTCTACAATCAGTGCTCACACAATACCTGAAAAAGCTTCTGCTTCTCAGGAACTCTATTTTCAAGCTGCCTGCGTGAAGCAGTACTTATGGTCCTCTGGGAAATTTGGCGAAGACCCTAAAATAAAGGATAAACAGTGGTTTAAAAACTGCTACATTTTTCAGCTATATCTACATTGGTAGAAATAGTTCTTTTAAAAATAAGACAAAAGTAGAAGGGACAGGAAGAAAATCAAGTCTTTAAAACAAACAAGCAAACCAACCAAACTTCACCAAAACTCACTGGTTTTGAATTCAGTCAGTCTTTCACCACACTACATAAAGTACTGATTAACTAGTTACCTATAAAGAAAAATTCAGGAAAATTACTTTCAGTAAGATACAACAGATATGAACAGATAACCTTCACAATTAGCATCCTTTTGGGGGAAACCTCAACTTCTGCCCCTTAGATCTCAGTTTTAGGCACCATTTGCTGCATCTGACTCTAGCGATGGGGATAATAATATTTAAGACAAACATGTCTGTGCAGACAAGGATCTTCTGTCATAGCCGCAGTTCACCTGCTAGCCACCAGCACAGGACCTAACCTTCACAATGCTCAAGAAGTCACCCCACATCCACACAAACACAGAGTTTAAAGACACCCTGCTGCACCCTAAGCTAGAATGTTTTCAGTCAGATCATACAGGTGCTCGTTAGCACAAGCCAGGCCACCAAAACCCACGATCTATAATTCTTCTGATGGCTCAAATTCTGCCTTCGCTAACATGTCAATTCTCAAAGTTAAAAGCCAGCTGTACCTCTAAACCACCAGCAGTCTCCTTCAAAAAACATTGGTAACACTGATCCTTCCTCACGAGATTACCACCACTAAAAAAGCAACTAAGGGGAAGGCATCCAGATGACGCTGGTTATAAGTAATAAAACAACACACGTCCTCCCCACCCCAAAGAAACACACTATAAAATTTACCCCCTTAGAGACAGACTACGCGTACCCTATACCCGCTGACCCAACTCCCATCCCTTCCAGTACCTAAAGCTCAGCACTAGGTGGAGCGAATGGGCCTGGACCTGAATGTAACACTTCCCCCGCGCCTCAGCAGCTCCTTCCGCAGCACCCGGCGTTAGCGCGGCCAGCAGGGCGGTCACCGGGTGGCCGAGGCCCGCTGCCCGGGAGGGAGCCAACAGTCCCCGAGGGAGCCC